CACAGCTGTTCTCCACTTTGGCTCAGAGGTGGCTATTCCTTCCTAGAAGCTGGTCCTTTTTCTAGTAAAATAATTCTAATTCTGTTATTCCTTTCTAATTTAAGGGAAAAAGAAAAACTACACAGAGAAGCTGGCAGGAGAGAGGGCTGAGGTGGGCAGCAGAGAGGAAAATCTCAGGCTATTCAATTCTCCATTGTAAGCAGGTATGCCTGTAGCAGAAGGAACTAATTGTGGTGATTGTTGGGGGCACAGAGAAATTAAATGCAGCCTTGCAAAATTCTGCTCGCTCACTTGCCCCAGGGCCAGTATTTATTTATTTATTTATTTATTTATTTATTTATTTAGTGTTGGACGACTCAGATATCATTGATTTATCTTCATTATCATGCTAAGAGGCAGGGAAGCAGAATTTGTGCAAGGACCGTATATTTTCATGATGATTTTGCAACACCAGCCTAGTACATTCGCTATCTGTGTAAATTGCTACTGAATTATATACATTCCTGTAAGTGTCGCTACCTAGACCTATATATCCAGGGTTGGTTATATTTTATAAATTGTTAACTAATAAAACATCTGCACTTGTGTAGGGGAGTATGAAGAACTGCTGTGTGGGAGAGGTGGGATGTGCACAACTCTACCCCCTAGAGACATCTGAGTCTGCAGTTTGTATGCAGGATATCTTAGGTCAAGCTCTTTTCTCTCCTTGTAAGTTTTAAGTGAAATTATTTAGATAGAGGAAGAATGGAAGGCAAGAGAAAAAGGAATGATGGAGGTAGCTTCCTTCATAAAGGGCCCAGCCAAACAGGCGATTAACACAGCCATTCCAGCCTCACATTCTAAACATTTCTCCGTCAGGGAGTATGCTCCAACATCCTTGAGAGTTTAGAAATTTTTAACGCACATGTTAAAAAAAAGGGGGGGAGGGGGTTGGAATGTCGTATGTTTCAGTTTGTATAAAATCATTTCCATGATTGCTCTCACAAAAAAAAAAAGAAAGAAAGAAAGAAAAAAAAACGCAACAAAATATCCTACCTTAACAGTGAAGAATAAAAATAACATAAAACAAACATAAAGCTGTTTATATTATACAACATACTTACATGACTATTTTTATTACTTTTAAAGCTTGTAAAAAAAAAATACCCTGAAAATTGCAGGTGCGAGCAATTACTCCGTAACGAAACAAAGCAATTAATATATCCCAGTGTTTTAAAAAACGCAAATTATTTGAAGCTGATAGATACAGTGTCCTAGCCCTTCTTCATTCTTGTCAAGAAAATGACATCTAATTTAAAAAGCATTCTCAACGATTCTGTTAACCCTGACAAGAATAAAATCACTGTATAACAGCAAATCTCTCCTTTATTTCCCTGACAGGTAAATGAAAATAAGTATTTTTTAATTAAAATACAGTAAATATATTTTAATTTGTTGGATGAATCTACACATATGGTAAAACTTGTAACAGATAATTGTAAATTACTCTCCTAGATTATTTTTAATTCCTTTGGAATATCTTTCTGCAATTTCTTCTTTGAAAAGCAACTAGTACCTTTCCTAGATCTTTCTTTTTGTAATATTAGCTATTTAAAGACTAGCTTTTTAGTTTCATAAAGCACCATCATCAAAGGAAAAATAAATCACTTTGCCACAGCTTGATTAAAACTGCACCAAGGCAACAAGAAAATATTTTTGAAAAACCTACCGTATAGTTTACAAATAAAAATATTTTCATCTCACTCTATGTAACACAAGAGCTCAGTAGTGAGTAGCCTGGAATTTTGCTTCGGTCAAAATTCAGTCAAGCCTAATTCATCAAAATTATGTGATAAAACATTTGTTTTATTTTTAGTTGATTTCTATTTAATGCTTTCAATAGAAAGAATATACATGGACTGAAAGAAATTCCATGATAACTACCTTTTGCTATTGTGTAATATTTGATGGGAAAATTTAGATAACCTCTTGATAGTTCTGTAAAACAATCATTTAGGGGAGACCTTTGAAATGCAAAGTAGGAAAAGAAATACATTACCACTAAATAAATACTGCAAATACTAAGCCTATAACAGCTATGGAATCAGAACATAAAATCTTGTAACATGTATGTTCTTATGATTGTAGTATTTAATAAGCACTGACATGACCCAGAAGGCCAATTTTCTTTATATAAAAAACAGCCTCTCCTTCTTATAGTGATATATAAGGGATTTAAATAATTAGAGAGGAATATAATTCAGTGTGTAAAAATGAATAATTTCACTGTAAATCTAAATAAATGCAAGGAGAAAATCCGGTTCTCTTTAAAGGAACCTACAAAATCTAGACTATAACAAACCTAGATTATAAAAAAGATGCAACAAGGTGATATGCTTTCATATTTTTTAGATTTTAGATACTTTCACAGATAGAATGAATACAGAAGTGAATGAAGATTACACTCTCCAAGTGACAAATGTGTTTGAAAGTCTAAGTGATTCCTCAAGAAAATGTTAACACACATTACTACACAGTATTTTAGTTTCATTAACAAAGTAAGGAGATATTCACCTTTAATTTTTACTACTAGTTAAGCAGTTCCAACAGTAATGCTAAGATTATCTTTTGGAATATTTGCTTTAAATTTCACTGAATTTTTCTGCAGTATGTACAAAATAATATCTTAAGCTTAGTGAATGAAACTGACTATTGAACAAGAAAGTCTTTCACTTACAGAACTACTTTATCAGTTGGATGTAATCCTCAGAAGAGTCCTTCAGGAATAACGGAAAAAGCGTAATTTTTATACAAAACGTATGCTACATCAGAAAACACGAATTGATGTTGGGAGTTGGAATTGTAGAGTGGGAAACTGACTTTTTTTTTATAGAAAGCAAATTTCTCATGGCAATTTTTAGTACGTTTTCAATTTGGATCTTTGTTGAGAAAGCTTTCATCTTCACCTATGTGCAAAAGGATTTGCGCCACAGCGAAACAGAGGCAACTGAAAATAGGAAAATTACAGTAACTTACTGATACTCAATATGAAGGCTAATGCATCTCATGTATATCTATTTAAAACACACTGAATTTTGTCTGCTTTTTGTGTATGTCTGTTTAAATCATTAAGAATCTTCATCAAAATACATTTTAATCACGGGTATTTGCTTTATTCCTAGGAAAGCAGCAGCAAAATGGTCACTTTACACAAAATAGAATGTGACTCTTGTGTGTTGACCTTTGCACGTAGTGTGTTTTAAATGGCAGACTGGCTTAGGTCCAACAAATTATTTCTATCCATGTTCAATTAGGAAGGATATAGCATGTCTACAGAACCCGCATTAAAAATGTTAATGTATCTTTATATGCTTATTCTTAATTTATACTATGAAAGAGCAAAGTTTTTTCTTCCTTCTATTCTTTAATATAAATGATCAAATCAGTATATCACATCTATCCATATGCAATTTACTGAATAATTAAAATGCTTTAACATTTAAGATGTCACTTCTTGACTAGGGGTTTGTATATTATATGTTTACACATTATGCAAGTACAGGTAATAGCATCAAAGGTCATGTCAGTGCATCTCCTGGACACCATGCCTCTTTAGATACTGTGCTATTTACTTTTGTGTGAACGTAATTACAAATTTTGTAATTATTTAGACTGCGAAGAGAGGAGGATGTAATTCCACCAACTACTGCATTCATTTTCTTGTTTTAAATTGTACTATCACCTTTGGAGACTTTGGTGAAT